AAATATATTTTATTGATTTTTTACAGAGAGGAAGGGAGAGGGACAGAGAGTTAGAAACATCGGTGAGAGAGAAACATCGATCAGCTGCCTCCTGCACACCCCATACTGGGGATGTGCCCACAACCAAGGTACATGCCCTTCACCGGAATCAAACCGGGGACCCTTCAGTCCGCAGGCCAATGCTCTATCCACGGAGCCAAACTGGTCAGGGCATGGAAACTGAAATTAAAGGTAAAATCTTTTCCTGGCTTGTTTGGATCATAGGATAGAGCATTGGCCTGCAAGTGAGGGGCTCCAGGTTTGATTCCAGACAAGGGCACATACCAGGGTTATGGGCTCAGTCCCCAGAGGGGGGCGTGCAGGAGCTGATCAATGATTCTCTCTCATCACTGATGTTTCTATCTTTCTCTCCTTCTCCCTTCCTCTCTGACATCAATAAAATAAATTTTAACAAAAAGTTGAAATAATGGCCCCTGTGAGGCTGAGACGGTCCCTGTGAGGCTGAGACACCTGGCTACTTTCATTCAGCATAATTAGTTAATTTATGTTGTACATATTGATAGTTAATTCATTGCTTATTGCTAATAGTGTTCCATTATATGGATATATACCACAATTTGTTATCCATTCACCTGTTGATGGATGTTTAGATTATTTCCAGATTTGGCTATTACAAAGTTGCTATGAATTTCTGTGTAGAAGTCTTTGTATAGATCTATGCTTTCATTTTCTCTTGGGTAAGTACCTAAAGTGGAGTGGCTGGATCATATGGCCACTGTATATTTATCATAAAAAAAAACAAACCAAACACCTGTCAAACTGTTTTCCAAAGTAGTTGTACCACTTACCTTTTGTCAACAAAAAGTCACTGCCATCAATCTAATACCAACAGGGGTCCCCAATCTGGGGTGCAGTAAAAGGAGAAACTTTATTCAGGTAAACAGTGTGCCAACTATGGAGATGCAATATCCTGAGGAAGCCAAAAACACTCCAGACTAAAGGAAGGCTGCTTTTATTTGTTTTTTAACTTTATTTGTTTTTTTAAAAATATATTTTTATTGATTTCAGAGAGGAAGGAAGAGGGAGAGATAGAAAAATCATTGATGAGAGCGAATCATCTATTGTGTGCCTCCTGCATGCCTTGTACTGGGGACCCAGCACGCAACCCAGGCATATATCTGGACCGGGAATCGAACTGATTGAAAGGGCGAGGACTACGCCCTCCACCTTGCCCCAGGGTAAGGGCTACGCCCTCCATCTTGCCCCAGGGTAAGGGCTATGCCCTCCATCTTACCTTGGCCATGTGCTCAGCAAGGCTTCTTCCCGGAAGTCAAGCCACTGCTGGTCGCTGGCTCCCTAGTGGGCCCTTGGGAATCTTGAAATCTGGGCACAACACTGATGACCTCTTGGTTCCTGGGTCAACGCTCAACCAATGGAGCCACACGTGGCTGGGCTATTTATTGACTTTAATTTTTTTTTTAATTATAGCTGACATAAAATATTATGTTACTTTCACGTATACATCCCAGTGATTAGACATTATATAACTTACTAAGTGATCACCCCGATAAATCTAGTACCCATCTGACACCATACATAGTTATTACAATATTATGGACAATATTCCCTATGCTGTACTCTACATCCCTGTGATCATTTTGTAACTACCAATTTGTACTTCTTAATCCTGTCATCTTTATCATCCTATCCCCCAGTCTCCCCCCCTCTGGCATCTATCAACCTGATCTTTGTATCGATAAGTCTGTTTCTATACTGTTTGTCATTTGTTTTTTAGATTCCACATATAAACAAAATCATATGGCATTTGTCTTCTTCTGTCTGACTTATTTCACTCAGCACAATACTCTCTAGGCCAGGGGTGGGCAAACTTTTTGACTCGAGGGCCACAATGGGTTCTTAAACTGGACCGGAGGGCCGGAACAAAAGCATGGATGGAGTGTTTGTGTGAACTAATATCAATTCAAAGTAAACATCATTACATAAAAGGGTACGGTCTTTTTTTTTTTTTTTTTTTAGTTTTATTCATTTCAAAAGGGCTGGATCCGGCTCACGGGCCGTAGTTTGCCCACGACTGCTCTAGGCCCATCCACGTTGTTGCATCTGGCAAGGTTTCATTCTTTTTTTATGGCTGAGTCATTGTATATATGCCAATCATCTATTGATGAACACTTAGGTTGTTTCCACATTGGCTATTGTAAGTAATGCTGCAATGAACATATGGATGTATATGTCTTTTTTATTTAGTGTTTTGTTGTGTGTTTTTTGGGAAGTGAAATTGCTGGGTCCTTCTTTGTCTCTTGTTATATGCTTTTGTTTTAAAGTCTACTTTGTCTGGTATCAGTGCTGCTATCCCAGTTTGTTTCCATTTTCATGAAATATCTTTTACTATCCCTTTACTTTCAGTCTATGTGTTGTTGTTGTTTTTTATCTGAAATGAGTCTCTTGTAGACAGTGTATGTAAAGGTCTTGTTTTGTTATCCATTCAGCCTCCATGTGTCTTTTGATAGAAGCATTTAATCCATCTGCATTTAAAGTAATTGTTGATAGACATGTACTTATTTCTATTTTATTACTCATATTTTAATTCTTCTGCTTCTGCTGCTTCTTCTTTTTTCCCCCTCCCCCTCCGCCTCCTTCTCTTCCTCTTCCACTTCCTTCTCCTCCTCTTCTTGTTCCCTTTCTCCTCCTGCTTCTCCTCCTACTACTCCTACTTCTCCTACTTCAAAAAGACCCTTGGGCCCTAGCCTGTTTGGCTTGGTGGATATAATGTGGGCCTGCTGACTGAAGGGTCCCGGGGTTCTATTTCAGTCAAGGGCACATGCTAGGGTTGCAGGCTTGATTCCCCAGTAGGGTGCATGCAGGAGGCAGCAGCAGATCAATGTTTTTCTCTCACATTGATGCTTTTCTCTCTCTCTTTCTCCCCCTCTCCTTTCCTCTCTCTGAAAATCAATAAAATCTTTTAAAAAATTTGCTGTTTGTCAATTTCTAGAGTATTGACCTCTAGGCAAACATTGTTCTTGTTTATTTTTAATAACATATTTTTATTGTTGATAGTAATATGGTTATCTCCCATTTTCCCCTCCCTTATCCCCTTCCTTCCAGGCCCTACCCACACCCCCAGGTCTTCACTACCCTATCGCCCGTGTCCATAGGCTATGCATATCTATACTAATAAAAGGGTAATAAGCTAATTAGACTGGACATCCTTCCGGACAAAGCCATGGTGGCAGGGCTGAGGCAGAGGTGGTTAGGGGTGATCAGGCCAGCAGGGGAGAGCAGTTAGGGGGAGCAGGCTGGCAGGCAGGTGAATGGTGAGGAGCCAGCAGTCCTGGATTGTGAGAGGGATGCCCTGGATTGGAGAGGGTGCAGGCTGGGCTGAGGGACACCCATTCCTGCCCGTGCATGAATTTCATGCACTGGGCCTCTAGTCCTATATAATAAAAGCCTAATATGCAAATTGTCCCCTGGGAGTTTGCCTGGCTTAACCAGTTGCTATGATGCACACTGAACACCAGGGGGCAGACACTCCAACTGATAGGTTAGCTTGCTGTGGGAGCTGGTGGACTGGACTGGAAAGTGAGGTGTGAGGTGAGAGCTCCCAGGGTTTGGCCTGAGCCCCAGGTGGAGGTGGGCCGGTGTGGGAGCCAGGAGGGATGGGGTGGTGTGGGAGGCTGCTACATGTGATCCAAGAGCTGTGGACTGCACAGCCTTCTGGAGCCTGTGTCATTCTCAGTGTGCAATTTATAATCTTCAGAGCTGCTTCTTCTTATTTGTTAAGTTTCACTACTCCAGGAGAGTGCGTAGCACCACTGGAGTTGAGGGGGACAGGCCAGGCGTGCCTGCCCAAGGCCAAGGGGCGGCCTCGGGCTCCCAGGACGCAGCACAGAGGGGGGCGGGGCTGAGTCAGAGAAACCGAGTCCAAAACTTAAAAGAAAGTGGGAGGCAGCGAGGGGCAGAGGGTGACAGCTGCACAGGGGCCTAGAAAAGCTGCTGGGTGGGGACAGCCGAGGAGCCTGGTGCCTCTCCCACGGGACAGGCTCCATGTCCTCCCTCTTCCTCCCCATGACCCATCACCCCAGCTCTCCTCCGAGGCCCCACCTGGGTTTACCCCTACAGCTCCACACTGGCACTGCCGTGTGGTCTGCACAGCCCCCCGGGGAATGCCTCGCCCACACTGCCCAGCCTGCTCAGAACAGCCCTGCCCCACCCCACACGGCCCTGCCTTACACAGCCTTTGGGGAGCTCCATCCCCAGAGGAGAAAGGGGGAGGCTGCAGCTAGGAGGTCGCAAGGGACAGAGCAGGGCCCACCAAATTAGATGGAGGGGAGGGAGGGAGAGACCCCACAGAACTGGGGACAGAGATGGGAGGGGAAGAAGGGCCATGTGGAAGCATCACCCATTTTATAGACCCTAACAGAGTGTGTATGTGGGGGTGGGGTAGGGGGGGCGAAGACATAAGAGGGTGTGAGGGGACTGGATGGATGGAGAGCAGTGATGTTTGATTCATGGCCCATTTATTTTTGTTAATATGTTTTTATTGATTTCAGAGAGGAAGGCAGAGGGAGAGAGAGATAGAAACATCAATGATGAGAGAAAATTGATCTGCTGCCTCCTGCACGCCCCCTACTGGGGATTGAGCCTGCAACCCAGGAATGTGCCCTTGACTGGAATTGAACCCAGGACCCTTACAGTCCACAGGCTGTGGCTCTATCCACTGAACCAAACCAGCTAGGGCAACACATGGCCTATTTAAAACCGCTGCAGTAGGCTGAGCAGGGGTCTTACCACGATGGTGTTACCTGATAATAAGGGTGTCTCTCCTTATGTTGGGGTAATCAGAACTGCAGCGAAGTAAAGACACACCCATAGAGCCTGCAAAGGGTTTCCAAACACATGAGGCAATTTACTTCATGTGGCAGCTGAAGAGGGTGAGCAGAGCCTTGGAAGGACATGAAGTCTCTAAGAGCAGGGGCTGGAGGGAAAGTTCATGCTGAGCATTCCACACCGTGAGTTACAATCTATATATATAAAAGCCTAATATGCTGTGCAGTTGATCCACCAGTCACTATGACATGCACTGACCACCAGGGGGCAGATGCTCTGATTCATAGGTTAGTTAGTTGCTGGAGTCTGGCTGATTGGGATTGGGTGAGAGAGCCAGACATGCACTGGAGCCCACCTATGGTCCCTCCTATGGTCCCTCCTATGGTCCCTCCTATGGTCCCTCCTCAGCCACTGGCCCTGATTGGCCCCAATTGGGACTGGATGAGATGGCCCTGATCGGCCCTGATCTCCAGCCAGGTGGGGGGACCCCACCCATGCACAAATTTCATACACTGGGCCTCTAGTCCTATCTAATAATAGACAAACATGGTAATTGACCATACCTTCACTACACCTCCCATAGGCTAATCAGTGAGATATGCAAATTAACCGCCAACAAAGGTGGTGGTTAATTTGCATAAGTAGGCGCAAAGCGGCAGAGTGAAGATTGAAGGCGGCTCTG